TTGTAGTAAAGGCAGATATATCGCATATAGTAAAAATCAGATGTGCGCATGCGCAGACTGCGCAATGCAAACTTTCTTATTTATGGAGATATTTCTTTGAAATTTTAACCAAAGATACTTATAGTAAAAGCAAACGTATTGCATATTGTAAATATCAGATTAATAAGCGCATGCGCAGGACGCGCAATATCAACTGCGCAGTAAGTGTCAACTTCCTTATTTATGAAGATATTTCTTTAAAATTTTAACCATATATGTCTCTAGTAATGAAAAAAACATAGCGCACATAGATATGGCCTTTGGGAAAGTATTGATCAATTTATGGAAAATGCGCTGAAGTTACTCGCCTTAGGGCGAAAACCTTTTTATTTGTTTATTCAAGTATCTTATCAGTAAAAAACTGCGTTCGGTTAATTTCATATTTGGTTAAAAGAGCATTTTGATGCACTTGTGCAATTACCTACGAAAATTGTCACAAAGCAAAGTTTTAATAGCGATCCTCGAGATGGTTTATAGTTTTGTATCTATTACTGTCTGCCGGTTTAGTGTGTTGTCACTTCACTCAACGTAAATGACAGTCTAGCTGACCGGAATATAAAAATGGGAAAATGTCGTTTTTTCGCATTTGACTTAATTAGGTATCTCGTTGACTATTCCTCTTACGGAAAAAATGAAGAGAACGAATTTGTTTAGAATCGATTTTTCTATCAGATACAGTTGGTATGATTTTTATTAAACAGAGTGCCAAGGGCATTTTATAAAGTTACTTTCTTGTTCTATTTCTGGGGTTTTCACTAAATTAATTCCACAGTCCGTCGATTTGCAAAACTCATCGAGCCAACAGACAATTATTGGAATAGGTTGTTTTACGGTACCACCATCCATAAAAATATTGAAAACGCTCTGGGAGTCATCCAGTTTGAAAGACAAGGCATCGAGAAGGGCGTATCAACAAAAACAAATGTTAATTTTTAGGATTACTTTTTTTTGTATTTTTCCAGAAAAAACAATAACATTTAAAAATGGACGGTTCTGTACCAACTGAAAATTCGATTCTAAACAAATTCATTTCTATGAGCTCGAGCAATAGTTGACGAGATAATTGGAAGTCAAATGGGAAAAAAACTGCATTTTTCCGTTTTTTCTTGGTTTTTTTGTGTATAGCAGTTCCGGGAGCTTCCGGGCAGGGAACTACATAGAATACACTTGGTTTCGTTGTGTGAAAAGCCAACATCCAGTTTGGAATACTTTTGGAGCTAATTTGACTGAACTATGTTGACCCTACTACCCAACACATTGACATAAAATAAAGTTCGTTAAGTGTTCCCTCCCCTAATCAAAAATTTTGTGATGGTATTATCACAGATACATATAGGTCGTCGGGAGCGTCAAAGGCGTGAGTGAAAGATTTACATCGAATCATATAAACGAATCCGTACATACTCTTGTTTCGTAATATTTATAAATTCAGAATCAGTAAAATTTAAAAATTAAAAACCGTCGGTTTTCTTAAAAGCGCCAGTTTTTAGTTATCCAATTTCTTGGATTCAAAGTTCAGAAAATTAAAAGCTATAGTATGCATGGATTCGTAATTTTTTTTTCTACAAAAAACCTAAATAGATTGACTTTCTCTCTAAAATAATTTGAGAAGTCAATAATCAGAAATGAAAAAATTACTATTGCAATTCCTCTTGTGCGTTGTTCAAGTCACCACCCGGTATAATAATATATTTATTATGGAAAAACAAAAATTATGTTTATTTTTCTAATAAAATCTTACCTTGCCCAACCTCATAATTTTATATTTGGAAGCCAATTTAGTTTCCGCCCTTGTATAACCAAACCCGCTCCATCAATTTTTTAAATGTTTAGAAAAGAGAAAAATGAAGAAATAAAATGTATTCCATGTAATTTATGATGTTATACAAGTGGGCGCTTATCTTATCTACGTAAAGGCCGGCGTTCTGAAGCCGAGGAAATAAGGTTTGAGTATATGTATTTTATTTTTACAAAAATGACTCCATCTATTACACACTTTTATCACACACAACAGTTTTCTGTGCGTCTACCACATTTTACGACAAATTATTTCGACTGCTGCAAGGTAGACAACACACTAACCGTACTCTATTAGGTGTTGCGTTTATTTCTATAGCATTGCATTGACCGTCTGTAGTATACAGGGTGACAATTTGAAAACTTACCACCCCCCATATCTTAGTAAATAAACGAGATATTTAAAAAAATCAAAATCCGTTTCGGTAATTCGGAGGGGAATCACAATGACATAGTTGGCGACGCACCCCCTCCAACCCCCTGCGCCCCAGCCACCCCAACTTTTAAATCTTAAATAGTGACCCCCCATGTGTGATACGTCGTTGGAAAGCTCTGAAAAAATGCTTTCCAGCCATACCAAATAGCATTACATTTAGGTTAGTAATTATCGTGAAAATCAAAAAATAAACTAATATGATACATTTGAAATCTGTCGTATTTAAAACGCAACCGGCGAACATAGACGAACCAAGACAGATAATAATTCAAGAATGTCAAAATATTGCAAAACCAACATTTGAAAAGGTTCGACAAGAGTTTGAGAATAGATTAGAACTGGCGATCAAAAATGAATTGCTGTCGAGTCGGCTTTGGAAGTTCAAGTTAAATACGATTTTCCATGTTTATTTTTTGATTTGCACGATAATTACTAACCTAAATGTAATGCTATTTGGTATGGTTGGAAAGCATTTTTTCAGAGCTTTCCAATGCCGTATCACACATGGGGAGTCCCTATTTAAGATTTAAAAGTTGGGGTGGCTAGGGCGCAGGGGGTGTGAGGGGGTGCGTCGCCAACTATGTCATTGTGATTCCCCCTCGGAATTACCGAAACGGATTTTGATTTTTTTAAATATCTCGTTTATTTACTAAGATATGGGGGGTGGTAAGTTTTCAAATTGTCACCCTGTATGTTGTCTGTGGTAAGACTTAGGTATTTCCATCGCGTTCTTATTATAAAAACTTGAAACTACCCATGACTACTCTCCTTAGGTCATAATCGGGTCATAAGTCACATTTTATTGTATCTAAATTTGTCCAGCGAATACTAATTTCTTCCAGAATAAACAGGTCAAATTTATGCAGACGCGACGTTTAATTAATAGTACGCCAAGAGCTGCGCAGATTTTGCCAAAGATGCCAAAGATTCAAAGTTTACTTTTGTGTATAGCACTCGAATTTTTAATTTTAATTGATGAAAGTAATGTCACTATTTCTAGGTGTGACCTCCTACATATCACTAAGGAATCCCCTCAAACATAACTGACGGTCTGTTTCCTCGTACACTTCTCACGGTTTCACAATTATCTATGAAAGAAACTTTTCCGAGCTTTCTACGATGTTTTATTCACCACTTCCACTTTCCCCATCTGCACCGTCACCGCGCCCATCATACAAAAGTACGATTGGGCTTGGGCATCCTCGTGGTAAATATCACATGAATATTTTCCGAGCGTTGTACGATGTTCTTGTGAAGAATGCATAGCGCCTAACCGGACGGGCGGACATAGTGATTGGATAAGGGCAATTTTACTTTGGTAAAATGTACTAAAAAGAGAGCCGAGACACCATTTGTCGTAGGTACTCAATTAAAGATCCGGAAGGGCATTCAAGTTCGATCAGATGCGACGTCGTCTTAGTAAAAATGTGTGCAATGCATCAAAAAGTTTGATCTTTTGCCATCGACGAAGTCTCTTCTGATAAAGAAAATGTTATCAGTTTAAAGAAGAAATCTATATTGCCGTTTTAAGAAAAAAAGGTGGGCATAGTAATTTTTACGTTTATGTTGCGTCCCCAAACGAGAATTCGTTCCTTTAGTTATTCCTTTGAAATTGCTTCATAGAAATTATCCTTAGCACGTCCTGTATATAATTATTTCGCCTATCCCTGTATATATTCCGACTTATGTAAGTTAGTATAGCAATGCGCATTCATCCAACAAAAGAAGTCATCGTATTTAAAACGTTTGCAGTTGCACTTTTTGTGGAAATTTTCTAGGACACACGTAACTGTTTTGAAGAGTGCCGAACCAAGAAGCAGTGTCCTAAAAGGAACGCGCCTAAACCTGCGCGAAAAATCCCACCAAAAGATGGCGCTAGTTGGACGTAGTTATGCAGAAACATACCAAGCATCAAAGGTGTGAAAATGAGAAATCTTGCGTGGTAACTATTTTCATTCCTTTCTTCATAACGTGTTCATGTAGAACTTTTAAATCCATAATGATGTAAATTTAAAGCGGTGTATAACTGAATTTTTAAACATTTATCTTAACTGACCGTAATATCGCAATTTTTTGAGTATTTTGTGGGTTAGTAGGTTTCAGCAGATTCATAACATTAACATTTATGAAAAACCCAAACTTTATTCAAACATACACGAGTATATTAAATACAATAGTATAGTGACTTAATTATCTAAATCATTTTCTACCTCAAAATCAAGACCAAGAACATTGTAGCCATCCACGTCTTCTTCGATAGCTGTATCTCCCATTAAGTTGTTATAAAACGATTGACAGTCTAAGGGAATGAGGTGCATCATTTCCTGTAAATTTTTCAATTTTGCATCTGCAATCGGTTTTCCTTTCGGCCAAAGAGGAATCACTTCCCAAAAATCAGAATCATTCTTTCCTTTTCTACAATTCCTTTTTCTAATATCTACTTGTTGCTCAGGTTCATCAAAGTTGTCTTGCTGAACAGTTATTATAAACGGTTGATTCTTTTCTACACGAATGGATCGAATTTTCAGCCAGTTTATTTTATCACCTTTATTAGAAGTTTTTCTATTTACAATATTCTTTTCAATATTTTGTACTCCAAAAAAATTTTCAGAATTCATTTTGGTTACAATAAATGGCTTCTTTTTCCGGCATTCTTTCATAACATTAACGTAATCCTCTGGCAATTATAGTCGCTGTTGCCGTTTTAACGCACATTCTATTTCACCGAAGTCTGAATCATTCGGAAGAAAACTATGTCCGGAGTGTAAAAACTTTAAAGTAATATCATCCAAACTAGGAGATTTACTTAAAATATATTTCAGCATCAGAGTGAGCTTTATATTTCTATTCTGACCTCCACATGAGTCACTCCATAGTATAAGATGATTAACATTGTTGTTTAAGTTTTCAATATGCTTCAAAAGGCAAGATCCGACCTCTTGCGCTCCTCTTCCGGCGACCCCTTCTGTCCAGACATAGCAATATCCTTTGTCATCTTTTCCGCTGTGTACGCCCAAGTTGTACACCCAAAGTTGTCGTTTATAGAAAACAATGCTGGTTGGGATTCGGGGTAACGGCAACGTTTTTTAGAGGTCGAATGTTAGGCACTCATACTCATCATTTTCCTTTGCCAATTTAAAATCCTGCCGTCTTAATTTTTGAGCCCCTTCTGCGTTTTCTAAATGGTTCTCATGTTGCTTTTTTATTTCTTGTTGTTTATTAAGATTTGCTTCATTTGTAGCTTTCATGTTTAAAGTGTCGCAAGTGTTACACGTATCCTTCTTTAGACTTTTAAATTTCAAGTTGAAACGCTCGTAGAAAATTTTTTTGTAGGAACTAAAGCTCACAGGATTTTCCGTTTCCAAACGGTACATCTCAAACATCTTTTGTATTGTTACATCTGGTGGTAGGAATTGCGCCGTTGTCGCTTCTCGACGATAGTGTGAAGTATACTTTGGAATACGATTAATCTGATCCACTACTTTTTGAACTTTATCGTCCGCCAATTTGTTATAGCCCCCTTGTTTTTGTCCCCTTTGATCTGTAATAGGAATAACGCCCCTAAATTTTTTAAGAGCTGTGTGCACCCTGAAAGATGTTATGCCCAGAGTTTTGAGGTAGATGCTTTTACAAACAATTTGGCCGTGTATATTATATCGTCGAGAAAATTGTCGCTTATCAGGATCCCTTCCATACAATCTCTTCTTAGGAAACTGTTGTACACCAGCAGCAATAAAAGTGACTTGGCTATCATATGACTTCAAAGACCAAAACCGTTCAAACTCTATCTTTCGGATTTCTAAGGAAACATTGTCGTGGCATTTCATTGTGCATTTACAGTCAAAATCAATAAAAGTCTTTGCTTGAATTTTCTTCCCTTTATAGTTAAAGTAATCCCGGTTGCTGTTTCGATTTTCCTTGTTTCCGCTTCTACTAACATTTGCATGTTTTCTTTTTCTGCCTTTCCGTGGTCTTATACGTTCCTTATCTAGGTTTCCTTCTTGAACATCAGCATCAGCAACAACGTGCGATACTTTTGTGTGCATTGCTGTATCCGATTCCGAACAATCGCTCTCGGTCGCGTAATTTGGATCACGGACAGAATCATCGTCATCTTCGGATGGATAGGTACCGGCATTTTCATAGTGTTTGTCTTTATAGCTACTGGTACTAGGATGAATTTCGTAGTCTTTGTCTTGTTCCACAAGTTCGGTTTGGTCAGTGCTAATAATGTTGTTATCGGTCTTGTTACAATTTTCTATAAATTAATATATGAATAGCACGTGGCACACTAAAAAGCCCACTTACCTGGATACGTGAGGTCCTCTTCTGATTTATTCACTTCATAGGCGTTTGACTTATTTGAACTAGGAAGGATCACGTCTTCCACGAGATTTTCTGATTCTACATTGAACGAAATGTTCTTTTCACTTTCTATCTTACTATCTCCTATAACAACACGAAATCGAAAATGCAGTAGCTATTGAGTACACCAGAAAATGCATCTTACCGGAAAGTTGGTTTTTATTCTTAAGTAAAGTAATTATTTTTAATGTCCGATTGTTAAACATGATTAACTTAACTATGCTGCACCAAGGAAACTGAAAATCAACTACACTAACTTAACTAACTAACACAATAACAGAATTCCGACGGGGTCTGATTTTAAAACTCGCAAAATCAGATAGGTTATGTACAAGAACTGATTTTTGCAGAAAGCTACCAAACCACTTGGTTGCGCAGTTTGAATAATTTTCATCGACCAAGTGGGTTAGTATGATTCTGCGTAATCATAGGGTCTTCATTTCAATAAAATGGTTTGGTAGTAGAGTCACTAGCGCATGGCTATTGCAGTATACTGCTTGGCTGGTTTCTGCAAATTAAAGAATCTTTTATAGCAAGTTCGAGTTTCCATTAAGCCCGTTTTCAGACATATTGTGGGTTGGTAGGTTTCTGCATAACTACGTCCAATTTAGGTATGCCAACGAATCTCAACCAACTAAAGCAGCGGAAGGAAACTAAATAAGATTTCCATCTAAAACAAATTAATTAGGGATAATTGAATGCTTTGTGATTTGTTAGGTGCGCCTTTTGCCAAATTCAGCTAAAATTAACTGACAGTAACTTCCATTGAGATGAATGTAAAAGCAATTGTTTGTGTTTCCATATAAATTAACTATAAGTTAAATTTATCAGCAATGGGCAAAAGACGGTGTATTTTCTCCATTGTTTATCCACCGTTGGCCATGTGTCATTGGTTTTTGTTTTGTTTTGAAGGTATGCTAGCAAATTTTTTAATCATACAAAGTACTAATTCTATGTATTCGCGCAAAAGGAGATGTCTAGTGTCGATTGACCTGTATAACTCAATAAACCGTTTATTCTATGTGTAAGGAACCTAATGGTCATGGGTTTTCATCTGTTTACTTCTCACTCGTGGCTGCTGCAGAACTTGCGCTTAGCTATACGAAAGGATGGCCCTCTAATTTACTATTCCCTTCTTTCATATGTGTGATTTATGCATGATAATCGAGGTTACTTTGAATACTTTTCTGCGTTCCCAACTACGCACGTTTCATGTTCCATTAATTGTAAGCGATGCTGAAGCAGAGGCATGCTCATTTACTGTTTGTTTTAGATGCGACGAACTTCGGTAGTAAGTCCGCGCACAAATAGCGTGAAAAATTAAATAAGAATTAGCGGAATAATGACTATGAATTAATTTGCAAGAAAAATAAATAAGTTTACAAATTATAGTGTGAGCTGACGAAAGTAACGGTAGTCGGCAGTAACCTGGGTGTTCTGTCGGGGAACGGACGGACGGACTTGAGCGCCACCAAGGGTACGGTCTTGCCCCTGGTGAATGTCGGCGGTAGCAGCGACTTGGCGGATCGATCTCGGAAACCTCGGGCCAATTCAAACGAAGTAAACGAAGTGAATGCTTAAACAAAATTAAGGCGCACAGCAATTTCCCTAAGCGGGAACAGTAAGTAATCTGATTCGGTGGCGGTATCTACGAGAAAGCGAAACAATATACCCGCCCCTTACCTAGTAACAAAAAAAGCTTAGCTACCTTGCAATTAAACGGAGCGGTAGAAATTACTGTGCAAGAAAAAGCTATAGATACGGTGCGGTAAATTTAAGTTAAAAGCAAAAAACTAAACGGTATGAATGCAGAATAAATTTACGGAAAAACTCACTACATTTCCTTTTGTAAAATTCGGCTATACCGGAGGGATCGACGGTTTTCCAGCCGACACACCGTATTCGGATAAGAACATCCAAAAATTACAACTTTTTTAATTAATTGTACGACCTGCTGCCGTCCTAAAAATCTGTAATCCCCAAAATTCAAATCAATTAAGCCCGCTTCTTTTGATACCCCACGCGACTATGTGAAATGACGTTTAATGTTAATTTCCCTTACTTAATTGGCCGGATTGAAGTTTCTAAAAATCGGTAGTCCAATTAAGACCTATTGTTAAATAACAATAGCCTTACGCAAATAGCTTACACTCATTTTTTCAATACTTTGATTGCTTTCAAAGGTGGAAGTCGATAAACTTCCCAGATTTCCAATCTAAGATCCACCCTTAATACATATACCCATATAAATCCAAACAGAAACTAAATTGTTTACCCCTTTTATTAGCATTGTAACCTATGAGCAAGTTTAAATGTGTGTTCTGGATGACGTTTTCACGCCTTCAAAATGCAAGCATTCTATTGGTTTAGAGTTACCAGACAACCTTTCTAATAAAACAACCTTGGGTCTAGCCTGGTTAACTAATCGCACGGATTAAAATCAAGTAACGATCTTTCGAAAAGTCGTTGTTGCCTTGCAATTATAAAATCAAATTAGCGCGCTTGATTTGTCGTTGTGGTTTAGTGAAAATTTAATTTTTTTACAACAATAATTAGAACGGTCAATACTATTATGATACTGTATTTGGTATTTGCTGTACGGCCATGTAACCAAATTATATGACGAGAAAAAGCATGTTTAAAAAGCGTGTCATTTTTACTTGACAAGTTATTGTAGAGATAGTTAACAGGAATGTAATTTCACACGGGGTGTGAGATGTCTCGTATCGGAGGTTACACTATAACCTGCCCCGATGATATTACCATCGTTTGCAAGGATCGTGCATCGTCACGTTTCAAACTGCAGGAACGCTCAATTAAGGTCAAATCCGCACTTGTGCTTCCCAACGAATCCTTATTTACACGGGCGTTTCGAATTAAAGGAGGATCCCCCTAAACCTGTAAAGCGCAATTTAGCGTTATCACAAAACCGCGACGGCCTAAAAAACCTGTTAACAGTAACTCACGTAGTCACCTACAAGATGGCAATATAATAACTGGAATGGAAAGCCTAAATAAAAACTAACAGCGAGCAACAGGTGAGCTATAATTTTTTTAAATGTTGGCGCTATAACAGTTGTCGTGCGAACACATCCCTTGTTACCAAGGCCATACATTTATTTGGTGATCCCTCTCTTAATTAAACACAAACTGCAAGGCTCTGGATCAATGGCACTATTAGAAATTAAGCTCGATGTTACCGTTAGCAAGATGGAGCACCTCTTGGGGACTCGCACCGGAATGATTTACCGTGGCCGCTATCTTCTAAATTAACCAAATTGGATTTACATGGATGTCATGATGTTTCGATCTTCGTTGAAAGGGAAATAGAATCGTAGCCGAGAATTGTTTTATTCGACGTGGATGTGATAGTGTTCGAGAATATATTTCTAGCGAAAATTTATCTCTTTGTAATTCAATTCAGAAACGTACAACTCGATACATACACCTAATGAGGAATGTAAAGGTTTTAACATATGATTAATCTATATACAGAAAAAGGATTTCGAATAAGTGGTCGAATGACATCTTTCGATACTCCTTGCTCCAAATATTCCCATTTGATGTTTTCAACCCACGGATAGATACGCCTCGTCCAGACCCTCCACTTTCTGTTTGTGACATTTCGTTTTCGACAATTTACAATTACTAATATACACATACAGGATCTTTTCAAATAAAATATAATTCTATGTGTGAAAATGAAAACATAAATATTAAGCGCAATTTTTTAAACCGAAATAGTACAGTAAATAGTTGGGTTATAATATATACTACATTTATCTATGTTTACCTTCTTGGTAGTTTACACATAAACATTTGAAACTGTCTGGCAAAGATTCAAAATTTACGCTATATAATACAAGAAGGATCAAGCCCTTAGAGAAATTCTCCAAAATATTCTTCCATGTAGGTACCATGAAGGATAAAACCCAACTAAGGAGTAAGAAAGAAGGGCGGTAGTAGTGGCTAGAGAACAGTTGTTGAGACCTTTAATTAGAATACCGTGAAAGATAAAATCCATTTCCCCCCCCCCCTTCCTCCGTGACCAGCTGATCTCGTAAACGAGTCGCACAGGATAGTTATACTTTTTACAAACAAATACATTTCGATGAGGGGGAGAACAACGTGTTGTACCCCCCCCCCCCCCACACACACACACTCACAAAAGTAATCCTTGAAAGCATCTACACCTTAAGAATTTTGAGTATTCGAAAATATTGTCACCATATACTTAAAAACCCTTAGAACTGTTCAACAAATAACAATGACAATCTTGGAAATCTTAAACAGTTGGATGATTTTTAAGAACCTTGAGAATCTTGACAATATTGTTTTGACAAATTGTCATTTGACATCTGTCTTGAATAGCCTATGAAGATCTACATTATGAATATCTGGAATATTTTAAATATTTTGAATTTTGAACCTTGGCGACCTTAAATCTTAAACATCTCGAGCCCTTGGGAATCTTTGTGCTCTTGAAAATCTCGACTTGTTTAGAATCTTGCATCTTTAGAATCTTGAGAGTTTTGAATCCTAGAATTCTCGAGAACTTGGAATCTCAAGAATATTGCAAACCTTAAGATCCTTAACCTTTAGATTCTATGATTTTTGTAACCTTGAATCTTGAAAAAATAATCACCATTTACAAAATTTTCCAAAACTTGTTGAATGTATTCTAGGAAACCCGACCGCTTTTTATATCTTCATATCAAGGGTCAGTGCTATTGAATATGAGCCGGATTAAAAGTCTGGTTTCCGAATACGAGGTGAGTGGCAAAAATTCTTGTTTATTTACAAAGAGGTAGTATGTATAATATAGCCGCTAGAAGCTACGCCAGACATTATAGTAGTAAATAAAAAAACTAAACCTACGGAATTTTTATTTTCTATTCAAATTTAGTGTGCAGCACATATAAATGTCGCCTCACGACATTATAACTTTGACATACTAAAACTTTGTTAATGATGTAAGAAAACCGTCCTAAACATTACGCCTCCTGTTCACTTCTTTTTTGAGACATAAACATTAGAATAAAATTTATGAATTCCGGCCACTTTATATTTGCGATTTAATTAACGGGCAAGATGATACTGTACTCATTTAAGTCTTAGAAGGCATCACGACGTAAATGGTCATTTTAGTAAGTTACAAGACCGACAATGCGTTGACCCCTGACCCTAGTAAGATCCAGAGATTTCGATCTTGAAAGTAATGGCGGTCATATAATATTACCGAGTGAAATTTCGTCACTTCTATGTCAACTTGCGTGTAGGTCCTCTCTAACTTACAAACACAATGTAAATGTCTGGTCGCGCAATGATTTATTATTTGAAAATATCGCGAATCATACAAATCGATTATAATATCGTGTATGCATTGCCAAGTATTTGTTTTGGTTGCGCCAAACTCGATTAAACTTGATGGATTGTGACAATCTTTTTGTAGAGATTTGAAAAAAAAACTGTTCCCAGTCTTAGTCGATATTAGATAATAAACTGCGTGTATCGTAAAAACTGCCGAAGTCATGTCTTAAACTCTGGCTGATGGAGGTGGTTTACTATCAAA